GAAAACAAGAAAGCGACGAAGAGTTTTGCTTTTGCAGTAGCTGGTTTAAATCAGTCCTGAAGCTAAAAGCTACCCCCTTCACAGAATCCAGTGAGTTGGGGAGTTCCCCCAGCATTTAGAAAACTGAGTGATTCGATCTTGAGAGTTTAAGAGAGCTGTGCAGCCTGGGGGAAGGTTTTTGAGCTATTAAGGTTCATCACAATCACTAAGAAAGCTGTGGTTAGAAAATGGTTTTGTTTGTAATTGAAACCGAGCAGATATTTCCCCCCTTTACAGAGATTTTTACAAAAATTTATTTTCTGCAGCACTCCTGGTTCCATAGCTGAATTCTTTTTATAGAACTGCCCACTGCCATAAGAAAAAACACAAGCACCTCACGACCAAGAAGAGAATCTCAATCCCAGCTGTTGGTTCAAGCAATCCCTTCAACCTGTGCTTCGTTCCTGTTAATTCTGCAACATACGTGCAAGTCTGCTACTGCCTTAACTCACCTCACAGCCCAGAACTGACACGAAGTGGTCACCGGCTTCCGTTCTGGCGCTAACGGTTCAGAGGAGGGGATCTTCCTTCCTCCGTGAACTGGACAAAATGAACACGCACAATTTGGCACCTTTGTTCACAGGTCACACCTGAACCCTTGAGTAGTCCAGCGCACAGCTTTAAAAAAAAATTAAATATGTAGTTACCTGCTGGTTTTCAGTGAAGGAGGAAGAAAAAAAATCAAATCCTGTGTCTTCCAGTGAGGCCTGATAACTACAAGCCCACGGAAAATGCAGTTTTAAAAAGGGAGGCAGAAAGTCAGTCCACCCGAACACCCGCAGCAGTTGTCGTGAGAAGGCAAAACAGCCAAGTGCTGCACTGGTTGTAGTCCTGTAGTTGACAAAACTTTCAAGCTCCAAGGGTTGTGCTGGCTCCTCTACACGTTTCCCCGTGAGAAAAAAAGAAAAATAGCGCTCAAATACTCGGAAAGCTGTTAAGGCCACAATGCTGTGTACAAACCCTAACTGATCCTCCCCCTTCCCAACAGGTTGAACGTTGAGCAGATGATGGTGGACAGGGCCTGCGGCTGCTGTCAGCCCCTGCACTACTGGAAGCAGAAACTGCAACTGCCATGCCCAGACCCAGACAACGCTGGAGAACTGCTCAGTACAGAAATTACTGTATTTAGGGGCTGTGTTTGTAGCCTTGACAGTTGCACAGATTAACCACGCCTCCACGTGCCCTCAGATACTTTTTTTTTTTTTTTTTTTTTCTTTTTCCCCCCTAACTTAAACAGTGATCACAATTCAGCACTTCCACCGTGCCCACTCCCTGCTGGGAGTTCACCGGCACCGGTTACACGGGATAGCTTGCAGGGAGGCCTCCGGAGCTGCTACCTGGTGTTGCTGAAGTTAACTGATAAATTATTCCTGATCGGGAGGGGGTTGGGAGATGGTGGTGCAGAGGGGAAGGAAAAAAAAAAAAAAGAAAGAAAGACAGACCGGGCAGGGTGGGGTAAGAAGAACAGATTGCATCAGAGAGGTCTGACCGTGCTCAGGGTGGTATTTAACCAGGGAGTTAAGAATTGGCCAATGTCCCGTGCAGTAACAGACTTTCAAATAAAATAGAAGGAATTAACTTGCTCTCTTCTTAATATTCGAGCCATTATTTTAACTGAGAAGAGGCTGTTTGGTTCACTACCCTTGAACTTGGACCTGTAAAACAGCCCCTTGCTTTTGCCGGGAGAAAAAACAAGTGAAAGCTGACACAGCTCCGCTCCTGCTGCCGCTGCGGCAACACGAGGCTCCGCGTGCACCAAGCCAACAGCTCATTGTGAGGTCCCTACCCACGCCCTTAATGTTTCCACATTTCTGGAAGCATCACGAGCACAGACATGAATGCCAGCAGGAATTCAAGACCACGGGTGCCCGCCAGGACACCGGGAGCTCACGCACAAGCGACTTCTGCTTCCTCTTAGTAGAGGGCGGGCGTTACTGCTTTGTTCGCAGTTCGCTGAAGTGTAAGTTGGACAAAAGTTCAGAGAATCCTAGACTGGCCTGGGCTGGAAGGGACCTTAGAGATCATTTTAATCCAGCCTCCCTGCCGCCGAATTCAAGACCACGGGTGCCCGCCAGGACACCGGGAGCTCACGCACAAGCGACTTCTGCTTCCTCTTAGTAGAGGGCGGGCGTTACTGCTTTGTTCGCAGTTCGCTGAAGTGTAAGTTGGACAAAAGTTCAGAGAATCCTAGACTGGCCTGGGCTGGAAGGGACCTTAGAGATCATTTTAATCCAGCCTCCCTGCCGCCAGGGACACCACCTCTCGACTAGATCAGGCAACACATGGGGACCGAACGGGTATTTTTGTTTGTTTTAGCAGGTTTTAGAGAAGCACTAATAACCTGGAGCAGACATTTAAGAAGCCTGTGTGAGGTTACTCAGCAGTTTAGGCACCGCTTTTCTTGTTCTTTGCTGAGCCCAGCCTGTACGTAACACAGGCGTGTGCTTCACAGCCTCAGCCGCACCCCACTGCTACACCAGGTTGCTGAAGCAGGTACTTACCGTTAAATAAAATCTTTTCTGGGGGTGTTTTTTTGTAATGTGACCAAACACACCAGCCATAAACAGACTCCCTGGGGGAGCTGAGATCTGCAGGTGAGGTCAGACTCACCTGAACACACCTCACCAGCAATTTGCAGAGAGCAGCTCAGCCCCACACATCACGTCTTGCTCTGTTACAACCACCCTGTGCATTCTTTACACTTTCATGCTCCCAGACAAAAAATTAAATAAATAGACAGCTTCATTACTGTTCTAATCATTTATTTAATCTTAATACGTTCTTCTGATGAATATAGTCTAATATATAGTCTTCTATATGAAAATTCTCCACTTAATTTGACAGAACTTTGTTTTATACAAATAAGACAATCACCATAAATGTTACATACTGGAGTGTAGGTCAAGAATGAACAAATGCTACCTGCTTTGCTATTCAGTTATTTTCACATGTCAATGCCTGGAAATACTGTACTTAAAAACAATAACACTGTTTACTGCAGAAATTACTTTGTCTGCTTGACAGGATACATCACTTTGGTAAGTTAACCATCATTCACAAAAAAAAAAAAGAATAATCAAGTATTTGTCTTGAATTTGTTCACTTTTCTGCTCATGGCTTCATTGAGCTGACATTGAATACAAAGCGTGAACAGTCAGAAGCTTAACACAGTCACCACTGAAAAGACACTTTCCCTCACCCCCCTCCTTCCCCCATTTTTAATGCATGTTTGAGCACAGCTGGAACCAAAGCAAAGTGAACTCGAGTAGTGTGGTGTCACAAGGTGTCCTTTAATGAGGGCGCAGAACATTTTCAGGGGGACAGGTATCTACGAGGATCTGGAAAACATGAAATAGGAGCTCCCCCCTTGTCTTTGCTAAGACTCCCTTTAGCCAGCACCTTGGATTCTAAACGCAGTACCAACAGCGCAGTTAAGGTAACAGGACCGAGAGAGAGGGGGCATCGCGAGGACAAAACATGGGGTAGCCCGTTACTAACCTGCCGACTGCCCAGCCTCACCGCAGGAGCTGCTCAGGAAGATTTCCAAAAACGTTTGTGATCCAAGAGTCTTGATCAGCCACTCGAAAGGCAAGACAAGGGCCAGGTGTTCAAGAGCCCCTTTGCACCAAGACCAGGTCTACAGCCACATTTTAGGTCACAAGGCCCACAGGTACCAGCCGTTTCTGGAAAACCAAACCAAGCCAGGAATCCCTCCCAAACCCCACACACCACAGCTACACCTTTGTTCCTTGTTTTCCGCCTGCACTCCAGCACAACTGCTCACCTTCAGCCAAACCAAATGATACTCGCCCAGTTCCACCTTTTAACTCAAAGCACTGAATTAAAGCGAGGCATACTCACTCCAGTAGAACCCTGCTCTGCACTGGGCAGCGTGACAGGAGCCTCCTTTTAACTTATTTCCAGTGTCACCACCATCACTTGAAACCTTTGTCATGGGCCTGCTCGGCTGCATGGCTTGTGAGACACCAGGCCCAGGCTTCCTTTCAACCCCACGGAAGCCCTGACCCGAGGTTCCCTGCTCCTGACGGCGGCAGCGGCCAACTCTGTTCATCGCCACCCGTAGCCCTCGCCGAGTGCCCGCGGTTTCCAACCGTGCTACCTCACCCACTTCGTTTCAGCAGCCTCTGCTGCACCTCAAGGCTCGATGAGCATGAGCCAAAGCTGCGACCCTTCCCTCCGCCGAGAGGCTGCAAACAGTTTGCTGATGTGGAACAAGTGACAAAGGCTTTGGTTGTTAAAAACACCATAAAAGAGGAGTGGTTTGGGGCCTTCTACTGCCTCAACATAAATCTTCTACACCACATTGGATATTTTTACCACCACTGACAAGACAGGCAACTGTTCAGACACCAGCTTTTCAACCTCTTGAGTTTTAACATTACTGTACACTGAGGGGAAAAAAGTCATTTGAAATTACATTTTCATCGGAAAGAGCACATGCCCTGCGGGCCTTCGAGGGCCCACTTCTTGCCACTTCTCCTTTTATACAAGCCCAGACTCGCATCATTAGGACTACGACTTGCTAAGTCTGATGGGGAACAGAAAAAAAACCCCCAAAACACAGAATAAAATATTTGACTTCAGTTTGACTAACAATGAACAGGCATTCACTACCTACCACAGCAGCTCACCTCGTTATGCGAGACGAGCAGAAGGGTTCCAACTCGCATTTGTGTTCCAGCCGCCTTCCAAAGATCGGAACACACCGGGATGTGAAGGATTACACGAACAGACCTAAGCGTGGTGTTTGTCAAATACAAATACTGGTGACACTCCACATAAACGTTCACTTGAATGGGATTCAAACACATCTCGGAACCTGCCCTTCCACGCAGGACAAGACTCGTGGCAAATGTTCACTTCAGAGTTTGGACTCTACGCAAACATCGGAACCAAGCTCAGAGCAGCACTGGATGGTTCCTTTCGGCTCAGAGCAGAGGGAGCACCCGTTACAGGCGCTAAGGCCGAACGTTGCGAGCTGTGCCCAGGCGAAATCATCCGTTACCACATCTACATCTGATTCCCTTTAACAAGTTTGAAAGCCTGACCTCTGCAAAAAAAATCAAAAAGGAGCACAAGACAGCCCTCCCACCCTTTGTGGAACACACTACAAGTCATTGTTAACGTCCAAAGTCACTTCCCTGTACTGTACATTTTATAGTCTTAATTTCAAACAAGGGTCAAGTCCTATTAAGGCAGGGAGCTGGAATGGGTTAACATTGCAGTACTCAGACAGTGATGTACAAGACATTTATTTGCAGTATGATGACAGTGATATGAATGGAAAAAACCCAAACTGACATGGTTAATATTAAAACTGTTCGGACAGCAATTCACATAACCTCTGAGATACAGCTTCTTTACTTGTTCGTAGTGTGAGCCTATACATCTGAAAAAGAACACAAAAATATTATTTACTTTTAGACACAGCTTGGCATGAAATGAACACACAGTCAGCTCGTGAAAGCTACCGGTTACCTCGTACTCGTTTTGTTAGAGTTGGAAGGGAAAAGGGCTCAAGTTACAACACGGAGGCAGCCGTCTGCCAAGTAATACAGCTTTGTCAAACCACGGGTAGGAATACATCTTCAAACCTTTGCTGAGAGTTACCACTGTTGTGTTATTTTTAGGCTTTAACAACAAGGTGTTTCCAAATTTTTTTCTATAGGAGGAATAAACGTTGTGGAAAAGTCTAAAGACCCTCTACCGGCACTTCTCGAGGAAACAGGAGACTTACCAGCCACAACTTAGTTTAGTCCTCAGCAAACTTTGATAAAAGCTCTATCAAAATGCTCAAGGAAAGATATTCTTAACATTGTATTAATTTGCTTGTGAGCTCTCTTTTAGCCCATCATTCTTTTAGTAACTGAAAACAGCAAAGGAAATTATATTTTGTCTTGTCCAAGGGGCACAAACCAGAAACATCAAGTTTCCAAACTTCGAGAGAACACGAGCCTCCACAGACAGTCTGCAATAACAGAGGGATCTCTTCCAAGAGGAAAGAGTCGCTGTGAAGCGGCAGCTGCTACAATTTCGGTTCTTGCTGGAATCCGCAGCCACAATTAGCTACTTTCAATAGTGACTTTATATAAATACCCAAAGGAGTTTCGGATATACACAGATATTTAGGGCAAACGAGAATGTGCATTTAAGCTGTAGATTCTGAAGCAGATACCTGTGCCTGGAGATTGGGTTCAAGGCGCAGCAAGCATCCGATCTGAGTCGTTTTTGTGTGTATGATACCAGCACCAACAAAGTTTGCGGGATTGGGATCCACCTCCTCAAGTAGAGCTGATCCAAAGCCAATTATCTATGAAAAAGCCAGAAGATTTAGATAGAGGGATGGCAGGACACTGGTACCAACTCCGCCTAAGAACAGACAAGTATAAGACTAATGTTTGAGGTGTTCAAGAAACTGAAGTATTATCCAAAACCAACTTCATTACAAAACAGTCTTTGAAGTGATAGGGTGACCCTGATCATGAGCTGTTTCAACTAGCAACTCTCGTATAAATCAAGGCACAAAGTGTCTTCCAGTGTGGTTCTAAGCACCAAATTGGTGTTTCCTGAAATAGCTTCAAGTTTCCAGCTGCTCTTGAAGTCTGTATCTAATTCAATCCCCACCAAGAAACAGCCCAAGCAACCCAGCGCTGCCAGCGTCTGCTACGCAACACGGATGGACGCTTCAACCACGTGATCCCCAAACAATGAACAAAGGACGCTACCTTTACATTAAATTAAGGAATGCCACACTGCCACCCACCTTCGCTTTTGTGATCTCGGCATCCATCGGGTGTTTTGCTTTAAAGATATTCTGTACTTCTTGCTTGGGACTGCAAGACAAATAGGCAGCGTGTTACACACAGCGTCGTTCGACAGCAACTAATGACATCGGGGGGGTTTGTATCTTGCAGGATTAAGCACAAGGTGAGGTACTGCAATACACCCCCGCCAAGAGCCCCAAGCCCAAGTACAGACCAAGCCTTACTTGCTCAGTTGCTTCCAACGCTGGAAGAAGTCCTGAGAAGACATCTCTGTTGGCTGGAAAAATTTATTCAGCGTGATGGGCAATTTTACCGAAAGATTTTGGAACGTTCCACCGTACCTGCAGGTGGAACAGAAAGAGCACAGCGTGCACAGCACAGCGTGAGGGGTCTGTCAGCCCAGGATGAACACTAAGGTGCAATTGTTTATGATTAAATCCACCAACCTCAGGTAACGCTATTTCTAAGATACAGTTTTAATCCACTATTATATGGATTTATTTGTTCTGCTTAGACAGTGCATGAAAGTGAATGGGCAGAACTTGTAATTAGGCCCTTTCAGTTCCAACAGAGGTTGTTGTCCTTCCAGCTAGCACCCATCAAAGGAGTGAAAATATATCCCTGTGAAAACATACCAGGAAGAACCAGTTCAGACTGGAATAACAGAACGTGGCCCAGAAATTAGGATTTGCCAAAAGGCTGATGTTGAGTGGACGTAACAAGTTTCTATTTTAGGCTGCACGTGTTTCCAGTCCAAGTTGTTTGGTTTCCAGAAGGGAGAAGTTACAGCATCTATTCCTGTCAAGATTTCGTAAGCAAACAGGCAGACTGCTGTTTTATACGGGTAGCGGAAAGAGAAGTCATGGAGACATTGTATTAGTAGCTGCTTCTTGACTAGTTTTCTGGGGTGTTTGTTTTTTGGTTTTGTTTTTTTTTTAAACCACATTGTTCCAAGCGGATTTTCTACCTTCCCTAGGAGCCTAAAGCTTAGGATCAATTTTTCACAAGTCTTCTACCCAACACAGCTTTATGTGTCCATATTCGATGCTTCAGCCAGAACACACTTAACATTTTTCATCTAATGAACTCACTAGCATTTGAATCCTGTGTTTTACCTGAATTGAATGTTCAGGATTGGAGCTTCCATAAAGTCTGACACGCACTCGATGTTCACAACCTGTTGAACCTGGGCACCTCCATCCACTGTGGGGTCAACAGGTTTTGTCTGGAGATTCAGGCGTAAGAAGTGGTTAAGGAAATAATCAATTAACCGATAAGTTAAAAAAAATTAAACAAAAGGCAAATCTTCCAAGAAGCTTCATGAGGAATTATTATTGTGTTCATTCATTCTCTGTGCACTACTGAATATTCAAAGCTCTTCTCAGAGCAGATGAAAAAAAAAGAAAAAAGGGGGTTTCTTCATACTGACACACTCAAAAGCAATAAACCCCAGAATTCTCAGTTGTTTGGATATTCTTTAAGAAAGATGACCTCAAAAAGGTGCAATGGCATTGACAGACGGCACAATAAAAACCACTGCACTATCTCGTTTTGATGCGAATGCTACAGCAATGCTTTGAGTCCAACAAGCTTGGTTACAGAGCGTCCCACAAATCCAAAATTTGCAATACCAAGTGTTAAAAGACAAACTGTAAATCAAGAGCTTATTTGCAAGTATCATCCTCTTGGTGTATTCTCCTACCTTCACCTCACGTCTGAGGGTATCTGCTCACGCAGGACTTGAAGTAGTCAGCCTAATTTCTCTTTATTTCAACAATAAAATTTGTGTTGGTAACCAGAGCTTTAAGGGGAGAATCTTCCACCTCTGCTCAAGATTTGTTCTTTCTACAAGAACTTCAGGAATTTATCAGTAAGTATCTTGCTCCCTCCTGTGCGAGGACCCCATGCCTCAATCCTGCAGCTTTATTACAAGTTTGTGACTTGTAATAAGGCACAAAACCCAACAAAACCAGACACATGCTACTGCATTTAAGGATATTTGACTGTAGGTCATCCGAGCAGATTACTGTTGGAGTAAAATTCAAGAACTGTGTTGATGTCTTATTACCGTAGAATATGAACATACGTCCTAGAAAAAGAGAAGAGACATCAGAATTTTTAGGCATGTCACATGTAACTGTATTGAACTACCTGTGCTTCAAGTATCTAATACACTCTCTGTCCGTCTTTCTTTAAAACAGCTTTTAAAACCTAACCATCATCCACATCTTACCAAAACTCTCGGTTCAAACTGAACTAACAGATTAAAACAAACTGTCAGGCCTCTCCCACAGCAGCTGCCACACAGGCAGTTAAATAATCCGTGGGAGTCTCAGTTGCTGGAGAACGTTGCTTTTTATATACAGAAGCTGCTGCAGCACCACAAGGGCTGCAGAAGGGGAGAAGCAAACACTCCTAGTGCTGGCCTCTGTTCCGTTCCCGGCTCCTTCCCACATGTTTTCAGCACCTTGTGTTTTATGACAGACACGTCTGAAGTCATTGTAATAATATGAAACACAAGCTACACTGCAAGTCAGAAAAATAGAGAAGAATAGTTCTTCACAACCCTGGCTGCACGAGCTTTAGAGCTAAGCAGCCAGAGCTGGCGCTTGCGGTACCACTTACGCCTCCCACTGCATCTCCCCTAAAACCACCAAGAAGTTTATGGAAATGGAACTCGCACAGAAGCCAGAGACACACAAAGAGTAAAGATTTTAGGATAAGTTAGGCCTGAAATCACACTTCCCTGTTAAGAAGCTGAAAATTAACTCCTATCTGCAATACTGTGCTGGCCCTGGGGTTGGTAACGCAGACAGCCAAGCACTCGGCCTGAAAGATCTTACCCAGGTTCTGTCGAAATTCAGATTTCAATCCAATTTGTAGCAACTGATTTTCAAATAAGACGCCGTTATTTTTACACACGAACCTAGGGGAAGAGAGGGAAAGCGTGTTTTAAATTGAGCCGTATTACACAACGTTTAGAACCACAAAATTCAGGGTTTACACAGAGGATGAAGATTGTGGTTAACCTAGAGCGCATCAGTCAGTGAGAAAGGCCTTTGCAGAGAACTGCAGAGTTAGAAAAGAGTTTTACAACCAAAATCACCACTTGTAGGACACTACAAGAACTGAATTTATTTGATAGGATGCCTGAGAAACTACAAAGGAAGCCACAATGTGCCACACACACACACACACTCACACACATACAGCCTATAAAGGACCAGGCGACAGATTAGGATTTCTTATTCATATTCTCAACAACTTCTGAAACTCATTAGGTTGGTGCAGATTGAAAAAGTTTGAAGCTTTGACTGTTTAAACCTGAAAGAAAAAAGAATCCCTCGTTTTATCAGTTCTGTATCACATAAGTCAACTGAAAGCTGTATTTTTTTTTTTCCATTTTGAGAGAATCAGCCCATTCTGCAGCGATTTCAGTCCTTTCTGTCACCCTTTACTTACAAGTGGAAGAGGCGGTCAGCAAAAATCAGCCTTACGCATACAAGGCACTTAAAACACACGCCCAAACATCAGTCCTTCCGAAATTTACTCTTTTTTTTCCTTGGTTTACGAATAGTTGCAAAACTTAAACAACTGGCACTGCCTCGTTTCAGAGCAGCGTGTGTGACAGCACTGACTAGTAAAGGCAACGTCAACCCGCGCATTCATGACCTCGCGCCCTAAAATCCACAGCATCTACAGAGGTGTTCTAGGCACAAGCCTGACAGCACGCGTCTCTCTAGTTTCGCTGGCGTTAAGTTAATGCACAATATAGTTTTTGCTACATAAACTTATATTTCCGAAGTTGCCCAGCCTTGCAAGGTTTTAGTATTGCTTACTTGTGAAAAAGCTCATCAGCATCATGCACAGTATCAGCTGGTTCCTCAGAAACTACCTCAGATGAAGCCAGGTCAGGGCTAGTTCAGGCAGCACAAAGGAAGAAAGGCAGCAGCGACAGAGACAGCAGGAGTTAGTAAAGACAGCTTAGTGCTTCGTTATTTCTTTTACCTCCTTCCTCAGAACCGGCACTGCTGAGTTTAACGCATGAAAAAATTTATTAGCTGCCCTAGCTCAGTACACCTACAAAGGTTTTCGGCATTAGGCAATGTTTTCCCCCACTTCGCGCCCCCACCCCGCCCCTCCCTGATTTTAAGGAGCCAGCAATTCTTCCCAAAGACAGCAGACAGCTGAAGGCGTTCACTACCTTAAAGAACAGTCCTTTTAGGTGTTTAATCATGACAGCAAAAAAGTTTTAGTCAAAAACCGTAAAGTGCAGATGTATATATTAGCTACTATAAACACAAGCTTTGAAGCAGAGGCCTCACCAACCCGAGAGGCACCTCTGGCTCCAGCTCTTCAAAACACACAAGTATTAAGTGAAGGCAGGAATATCCAGGCACGCACAGAAGGACTTACCCAAAGTAACAGATTAGATACAAGAGTGACAAGAGCACTAAAGAGAGGCAGGAAACTGCAAAAGGCAACTTCTCAGTATCATTAGAGAAGCATTTCATCATCTACAGACAGACAAAGGGGTTGGCAATGCTATACTTTCTTCTGCAGAAAGAGAAAACTTTTTAGGTAATTTTTGCTTAGAAAGCTGCTAGTATTGGTTTCTCTTTTTTTTTTTCCTAAAAAAAGAGAAAAAAGCTCTAATAAGCTTGTGTAACTTCATAAAGTCTTGGTAGTAGCATGATTAAACATCACTTATTGCCTTCCAAGAGAAACAGAGGATCAGGTCTTACTCACTGCAAACGTGCAACAACACATTGCCTAGGATAAAGTTTTGATGAAATCCTCAATGATCCAGGCAGATTAGTTTCACTAATTATGTCTTTTGTATTAAGATGTATCGCAATTTTGTCACATTGTCATTTAAAATTTGGTCTTGGAAATAAATAGCGTAAGACTGCAGAACGTCAAAAGTTTTAGTCAAATAACACTGGAATGTAGCCACAGTGGCTTTTAATATCAACAGGATTAATAATACATTGGACCTATCCTACACCCAGTAATGTAATTATCAAAAAACAAAGCAAAACCCTCAAAAGTACTTGGGATTTTTTCCCCTTTCCACACCTGTTTACCAGATAGTTGCAGGACAATTTAAGTACATCTCGAGATTCTGAGAACCAGTATCTCTGGGCATAACCCATCTCACTGTTTCAGCACCAGCTTGCCATGAAGTGGAGAGATGCAAGAATACTTTATGGAAATAAAAACAAATATTTATAATCAGGCCAGATAAGCCCCAAATTCAAGATGTAGAGATGCACAAGCAGCTTGATTTTAACAAAAGCAAAACCAGCTCAAAAAGCTAGGCAGTACTGTGCAGCTAATATCCTCAGGCTGATCACTACAGACTCAGCTTTCCCATGAGGAGAGGTATTCAAGAGAGACAGCACATCCAGCACAGAGCTCAGGAACCCCTCTCTCACTGCAGTTCCCACCTGGGAATGCATTCAGTAAGCTGGAACAAACCCAGAAGTTACTGTACGTGTTCTTCTCTAACCCTGTCGTAACAGACAAATTCTCCCTCGGATGCCTTACAGGGCGACTTAATTACCTCGCAAAGTTGTCGTCGGAGCCAGGAGCGAGAGGTGCAACCGCAGAAGCCGAGTCTGAAAACACGTCCACCAGGAGGCTGCCGCTAGAAGACGGTGGGGGAGCAGAATTGGTGAGAGGGGCTGCACCCAGGCCCAGCAGATCCGCAGATGGAGAAGGAGTGGACTACGGAAGACAGGACACTTGGGTGTTAGACCGCAGTGAAACTAAACCAAACAGATACCGAAGCTACAGCCAAGCGCCTCTCCCCTCCCCAAACCCAACTTGGAATGGCTGTAGGAGGTTTCATGAACACAGCAATCACCTTGGATTTCAACTCAAGGTCATCTACAGATGCAGTTTTCTTTTTTTAAATTGAAAACAGTTATGTCCATCTAACAGTTCAATTAAAAAAACCCCAAAACCAAACCACAAAAAAACCCTCATCTGTCTAGAATCTACGGAAGAAAGGTAACATTGCCTTCCCCCTCCTTCTCCCTTCTTAATTTCCCTTGAAATCAAAGTACCGCAGGGAATAAAATTCAAATGTGTTTTCTTTCATGAAGAATGGAGGAAATACAGGCAGAGGCTTTTACACACAAACACATCATAGCACCTTCAAAATTTACTACCAGTTTAGTCTGGAACTTTTGCAGCTTGGTAAACCTTACAAAAAGTGTAAAACCTAACCAGCAAAAAAGCAGAGCCTGTACCTAGGTCAAGCTGCAAACGCTAAAGGTAGAGGAAAGACCTATCAGGTGGTGGATTGTTTTCAAATAGAAAAAAAATGAAGTAGCCAGGACAGAGAATCATGCAACAGAGGCCGCATGTGTGCCCAAGACACGTGCAAGAACAAAACATGGACTGTTAAGCAAAATGTTCAGGAATTAGACATCAGCAGCCCACGATCTGCCAGATACGCTAAAGATGAGTCATGGGATGCATCTGGACTGAGCCCGAAATGTTGTTTTTTTGTAAGCCAACTCAGAGTTATATATTCCAAAAACTGGATTTGATGCAGCATAACAAAAAAATTCCCTAGCAAAAAAAAAAAAAATATTCAAAAGTCAATCTGTAATAACCACAAGCAGTTGGAACTCCGATTTGGAACAAATTTTTGACATCTAAGCCAGGGTCACATCAAAGGTACCACAGCAGAGTCGCTTACATCGGTGCAGCCCACGGAGTGAAGCTCATAAAGCGTAACGCATTTCTAACTGCCAGTCACCTCAGTCAAGCTGGCACGCAAACAAAATTTGGCAGCCTTTCTGCTGGAAAGGCATTTCTGCCCATTCACAGATGTTGCACTTGGAACATCTACTCTTACATCCAGCCGTGACTAAGAGTTAAAGGATTACACCTCAACAAACTCAGCAGGGAGTGTGCTATGACATTTCCTCCTCTTTGGTAATCTACTACTACATCTCAAATGTAATTACAAGTTATACTTGCCATTAAAACCAGAAACAAGTATTACATAACGGGAACAATTCCTCCCACCAGCTAGAACTGACAATAAAACACAAAGCCTCAGCTCAGAAGCAGCAAGACTGGGGCCTGACCAGCCACAACTGAGCCCAAACAGTACTGTCAAACATTATATCCACTCAAGGACATCCATGTTAAGTCAAGCATTCTCCACTTCTAGTAAAAACAGTAGCAATCTGACACTAAATGCAAAATACCTACCCAGATAAAGAAAGCAGAACAGCAGAAATTCAAGTTACTCCTCTTAAATATGTTAATTTTATCATCGCGCCTTTGCTGCAATTTCACCAGCAAGGAAACTTCCATTTCTAGGTTTACTGCAATATTTTTCCAAACTAACAATGGCAAAGGAATTCTTTCAGGCTGCAGACATTTGTCCTCATTTACATGAGATTTCCAAAGGAAAACCGTGTCCAAGCACGGGACAGAGGAAAAGCAGCTGTACGGTCCCCTGCTACTTCATAGCAAACATACTTGAGATGAGATGTTTTAAACTCCTAAAAAGCCATTTTAAGGAAACCATTCTTTTCTCACTTGCATGACATCTAAATGACTGAAACAAGAGCTTTTAAACTCACAACAGCACTGGCATTGACAGAGGCAGGTTCAGCGCTTCCGTTCATATCAGAGCTCCTCTCCTTTTTGATCTCTTCCAGGTCAGTAACTGTGCCTGGGCCTTTCTTCTTCTTGAGTTTAGCCAAAATAGAAGACTCCCTCTCTGGAAAGGGAGGCATTTCTTCCAGCACTGTAGCCTTACCACAGAAGAAAAAAAAAAAAGCGTATTAGTTAAACATACAGAAAAAAACCCAAACCACTTCTGAGTCTTTGAGGAGATACACCCTCACAGATTGCACAAGGCAAATGCAGAAGTGATTATTCCCTTGAAAATGACAATGCAGTTTATTTTTCGGTGATGGAGTAGATGTTTTTTAAAAGAAAAAAAGTATTTAAAACCTTCTAAAGTCCTCCCAGGAGCACATCACTTCTCTGGTACAGTGCTACTAAACAAATGGATTATAGAAGACCTAATGGTCCTTAAGTCAAGTAGGCCTAGACTGAACCACAGATTACCCAAGGGTCTAGTTCAGACCTAAGCATTTAATTAGCTGTCAAGACTAAGTGTGTCACGTTCTGTCCAGACCTGAGAGCATCACGTTGAAACATTGTGAACTCCCAGTGTACAAAAAAAATAAAAAATTAATTCAGCACAATTCCAAACTTCCTTTCCACCCCCAAGTAAGTCCTCAAAAGAAAGCAGTAGCCTTTTGGTATTCAAACACTGCAGGATCCTGTGCGACACCAGCTCTCACTGGCTCCCCAGCTCCACATTAGCTTCAATGGTCATTTGTCTTGCTGAAGCAATAACTACATTGATTTTTAGCTCTAAAGCTGACTGCAGCCGAATTAAGTAGACCAAAAAGAATCAGTGTTGATACTGTGGATCCTGAATCCTGCATTAAAATTTCTGAGAAATCAGGTAAGGTTTAGTGGAGTTTACTTGTTGAGAAAAGTCACAGCTAAAGAGTTCTGAATAATAATATTAACAAATACCTTAATACCTACCAATATATCAGTACTGGCAATAGTACTGAGCCTCAGATACTCAACAGCTCTCTGCTGCAGCTCAACATCAGCATTCTTCAGCTGACTGTCGCTGCGCAACACATCTTGAATTGTAGTTTTGATTTCTGGAAACAGGTTCACAAACTTGATGTAGGTGGAGAGAAGCAGAGCTCGAGTGGGAACACTACACAGATGAAACTTGGAATGTAGCAAGTTGAACTGGATGAGAGGACTTAAAAGATGAGAAAAAAAGAATTTGTTCAGTTTTCTGTAGACAAAGTTGTTCAGGCCTTACTAGCAAGAGCCGAATCATTTGTTAACTGGCCTTTAGGACTATTAGCTAGGCATTAAATTCTTTACACAAAGTGTTACTACTTCAGTTCAGTATATTGGAAGGTATTTTACCTTGATCTTGGATCACCTGCTATCAGATTTCCAAATTCTCCCAAGATGTAGCCACCTACTTTGACAAGATTCTCATGGCATGCTGGGGCTTGAAGAGCCTGTAACGACAATAGTCGGTAACATCAGTAAGTCACGTAACATCAATAGTCAGTGGTCTCTAGTGCCTCAAAAACCCCATCTTTTCTGTCACTTCCATGCCCAGTTCTCCAGTCCATTTTCCTGTAAGAGTAGACCATAGGTCTAGGCACTATAGACGGAATGACTTTATAGAAGAGGTTCTAACATAAGTATTACTTGCTGAAGAGCACATAGGCCCATCTAGCAGCACTGTGGACTTCTCAGGACAGATACAGCTACTTCAGTTTCCCTTTACATCTCTAAGGGTGTCAGAAGGATGTTAATACGCTTAATTTAAACCTTACAAGAATGCGCTGAAGGCACCCAAAGCAAAAATAGTCTTTAGTGAGTATGAAGAAACAGAGCAGGGCTGAGTTCTGAAAGTCAGCTTAAACATTCAGGAACAGATATAAAAGAAGCAGAAAGCACATATGAATAATGCAAACAAAGTCAGAGCAACAAGGTCAGACACTTGGAAGTGTTGCTCTTTAATAGTTCAAATCCCAGTTCTCAGATTCAGAACAGAAGGAATGGGTATATGCTTTCAGAAGGATCACCAAGCTATCATTGAGTGCTCTGGATTCCCACACGTGGAAGACAAAAAAACCCCACACCCAAACATGCAAAACCCAAATCCACGCAAAAAAACCCAAACCCACCCAAACAGGCAAGCTGCCCTGTAAAAGGTTTCTATTTTTACTCTATTTCAGTAATTTTACAGGTAATGTCATTTCAGTGTCTTCCACCAATGTAACCAAACAAACTCCCCCCCCTCAAAACAAAACAACAAACCAGCATAGCCCATGCCATGCTCCCTCACTAAAACCAGAAGAATACCAGGCATATTCTACACTGTTTAAGCCAGAGAAGCTTCTCAGCAACTTAATCAATTCTCTGGCTCTGAACATGTATGATGCGTTACAGAAAGCTTCAGCAGCATTTTGTTGGAATATTCAAGCCCATGTTTCGACTTGCCCCTAGTACAGCGAAGCACACACACCTGGTGTATCACGTAAGTCTTTACTTAATTGCTGCCTCATTTTGAAAGGGAATTGACAACAGTTATTCTCACCTCAAAAACAGTCTTTGCTGCATACCCTTGAACATCATCCCTGTTGATGACGATCTGAATAACTCGATACCACACTTCTTCACTGACATAGTCACCAGCAATGCGGATCAGGTTCAGGATGGTATCCACATACCAGGTATAATCCACCGCGTACTTCTCGGCTAGAATTGCAACTTTCAGAACCTGGACACGCAAAAAGAGAATCAAGAAAGTTGATTGGCTTCCACTAGAGGCTGTGCACCACGATTCACTTCCGTACACACCAAAGTGATACCCTGCGGTAGCCCAGAAGCCTCAGTTTCAGATGCACCCGCTTGCTCCCACAACCAAGGGGAAACGTGAACACGGAACTTGTGTGCTGGGTACAAAATGCTTTCCTCATAACACATTCAAATATGTTGCATCTCTGGCTTTTCAACCGTGCACCTAAGTTATCAAGAACAATTTATTGATCAGCTTTTGTTTGCTATCAAAACATCATCTAAACCTTCAACAAGACAGGACCAAGTAGGAAAATGGAGAGCTCAAATAAAAAAAAAGCAGAAACTCTGAGTCTCCAACTGTTTTTCTCAGGTAATACTAAGACACATCTATCCTGAAGCAAACTCAGCACAGGAAGAGATCTCCACGTCATTTGCTATCGCTTGCGTTTACACTGGCCTGTTCATTTACAGGTAGCAAACAAACAGAACATTCACATTATCTGCCAAGTCAGCGTAGATCACACCGAGACGGTACGAGAGGTAAACCAACCAACATTTTATTCTATGGTAACTTCTCCCATCAAGAAACTTTAGCACCTAAGCTAAATAATTAGCAGAAGTACAGGTTTTTGTTTTCATTTTAGGAAGGTCATTAAATGAGTATTTCAACTTTTGCATTTTTCGCCTGCTGGGAAGCAAGAGAGAAATAGGTATCATGCTTCTCTTAGCTGATTATAAGCTACTGGTTTGGGGAATATTTAGACAGAGAATGTTCATGCAGCACACACAGTACAGAGTTCTACCTACAAGTATTTAGTAGCTTCAAAAATGAGAGTGATACACAGTTGATTAGAGTAGGACATAACCCTCAGATCCAGATATTGTATTTGCTCAAGCACGGACAACATTCACTTTCTATATCCAGTGCCCTAAGATCAAGATTAGTTTTGAAAATACTTAGTTTCCAAGATTTCTCTGCTCACCTTCTGCACTACTTTAACCTAAGCAAGCAACGCTCTCTGCTATTAGACTACAAACTTAGATATTTTTTGTGTGTGGTTTTTTTGTTTGGTTGGGTTTTTTTAAGAAAATATCATGTAAAGGAGTGTCTATCACAGACTATCCAACATCCCAATCAATAAATGACGCATACGGTGCTAAAGGCAGCTAGGAAAAAAAAGTAAGGGAACATAAATATCTCACAATTTCTTCTCTGATGGAATAATCGGCAGTCTCCAAGTAATTCAGCATTTCAGCCACAATCTGCTGGGCATTGCTTCGGTCACACATCGCGTACAGGAGATCCACAGCTCTTTGTCGTACACTTACATCTCTTTCAGTCTGCAAAAGGACACCCAGCAAAAGGTCAAGATGATTTCACTTTTCTTTGAAAAGCACATGCAACTTACTGGATGCATGAAATCTACTATAATCCATAGTCAAATTTAAAGCAAACACATTTTCATAATCTTTCAGATGCAGCATGAACTTAGATTTACTCTTCAGATTCGCTATTGAGATTCTCATGTTATTCGCACTTTCAGTCACCTTGAAAGAGGCCACCGGAGACTCAGACAGGTTTTAGGTAATACTACAAAAATTCACAACAGGTCTTTTTTTTCTGTAGTATACACGTTCAAATCTGTGCAAGTGCTGAAAAGACAGAGGAGCTCGTACAGAATACTTCACTATTACCCTAATCGGGCTGAATGAGTCTGTGGTCCAGGGTGTGGTGGTTAACTAATTCCACCAAATGCCCTAATAATTGGCTGAAACTGTCAAATTGTCACCAGGCCAAAGGACATTTGGCCACCTGTAGGGCTAGGACTGAGCTCACTCTGCAGAAGCTGCTAGAACAGGTGTGTACTTTAAAAGTTACACAAAGGTACTGACGCACTACAGCCTGAGCTTGGGAGAAAACAACGCAAGTACATTTATATGCAAATCAGTCTTCCTTTTTTGACTTCTGCTTTTGCATGCAAACATGGCCTGGGAATGTGTCCTTCTCACTTCCTGACTTTCTGGTTCTGCAGTGGATGCTGATCTGCTCTAATGCTCCCCATAAGCTACTGCTGTGAAGGAACAGTGTCTGGTACCACCAGACAGTACTACAACAAATTCTTCCCAGCGTTTGTCACTTTGAAATCTCACATTTTGAAAGAATTATCCATCTTCAGTCTACAGCTGGAGGAGATACTAAAGTGTTACAGGGCCCACAGCTACAAGTATCAGATTTACCAGCAAGCTGCAGAAATAAACTGAAGTTGACCTCCAGCACTGCCAGCACTGCAAGAATTTGCACAATTAAGCAGACTTCTGAGAATAACTTATTTGGTCCCCAGGGATGATTAGCTTAATTTGGGATAGGGGGCTTGGAGCAGTGGGGGAGAGGGCACTGAGACAGGGGAGAAGACGACACTCGACACAGACTGCACACTTAAAATATTTACCTTCAGCGCATTGATAACTGTTTCTATGTGTGTTTTCACAGCCTCATGTGAGAATTCAGAGCTGGCAAGCGTGCACATGCTTTCCAGTGCTAGGTAACGCAAATTAGTTTCTCGGTGCTGCAAGAACTGACCTAGCTGGTTACAGGCACGGACTAGAAGATTTGGCTCACTGCACAGAACAGGAGAGAAAGTGAAAGGGTTAAAAGCAACAGGTTTGAGAACACCCAACACAGAATACTATTTCTACAGTGAAAATATCTTAAAAGCCTTGAAGTGTCTTCTAGAATGCCCTGCTGGTGAAATGAACATTCACATACTGTGAGTAAATAATCTCTGTTGGATTAGAGTGGTGGTGTCAAAAAAACACCATCAAAACCCAGAAGCAGCAAAAAATAAAGCATTAAAAAAATATGCTGACAGCACCACAGTTTGTTAATGCTGTTCAATTCCATTGCTGCAGTTGTGCTCCAATCTAGCAGGCAGCTTCATACTCCCTTCTCCTCCCCTTCCCCCCCATGTAAAATTCCATTTAGTGCTCAAGACAAAGTCACAGCTTTCCACTTAAAAAAGTCCTCTCCTAACAGAGGTGTTCTCCCAGCTCACCTGTCATGATGTATAATTAGACTTATTGCTTCAAACAGCACAGCGTTCTTTGCATTTGAGTGTTGGACTTTCTTGGACTTTGGTGGCTCCTGTGCTTTGTTCAGAATAGTTTCCAGGCATTCTGTTAAACGACCACGTACCGCAGGGTCTTCTGGAGAAGAACAAGCCGTTGGACAACTTCATTTTGCACAACACCCTAAGCTCTACCTTAGGCCTTCCACCTTCCTAAATCTGAATACACTGAAGTATTCTGATACAATAACACAACACCCTAAGCTCTACCTTAGGCCTTCCCCCTTCCTAAATCTGAATACACTTAAGTATTCTGATACAATACAACCAGTTTCCCCTCCCCTAAGAGACAGCTGAAAGAAGAATTCTAAGCCATGGTTCTATTTGGGTGAGAACACTGTAAGATATTTTAAGGCTTTAATGTAGCTGATAACATTAAAGAGCACTTAAAATGGCTATTTCAAATGGTTTATAAGATGCACGCTGGTTTGACACTTTGCTTTAAGCTAAGTGGCTTTTTGAATGATGTTGAATTGAGAGCACTTAAAATGGCTATTTCAAATGGTTTTTAAGATGCACGCTGGTTTGACACTTTGCTCTAAGCTGCCTTTATGAATTATGTTGCATTAAATTTTAACAATCTAAAACACTTAAGAGTACAGACTTTAGTATTCTTGTCTTAAGACAATGTGCTTCTACCCCAAGTTACAGTAACGCTGCGACATAGCAGCTCTTTGAAGACAGCGTGCTCTTCCTCACAAGAAGAGATCCCTGTTGCGATCTGTGCGTTACCTGGAGGAGGATAGCACTGTAACAGCCGCAGAAGTTTCACAGATAACCAAGGAGCAGGAACAAAGTAGTACGTATAGTCCTGAAGATCTGTTGACGCAGAAGTTACAATCTGTAAAACAGGCAGAGAGAGCGTGTCAGCTACGGACGTGATGCACAGTTATGAGAAGGACCCAAAGAACACTGTACGTCACCTTCAACAGAGGCTTACAAAACTCACTAGCTATGATTAATCCAGCAGATTAATTAGGTGCAAGTCATACTATGAGCATACTGTGAGGTCCCTTAGTAACAGAAATTCAGTTTATAGATACTGCAGTCTAGGGAAAACACACTGGCTTTTCTTACAAATGAAGATGACCATCTTGTAGCACCAAAGCATTTAACTAGAAGCCTGACTTTCTTTGGTCCAGCAATTCATAGATTCAGCCAACAGAAAACCTAAATACAGCATCAGAGCTGACTGCTACTAGGTGAACTTGGAATTCCAGCACAAGATGCTGTGACAGACTGAACTACAGCAGAAGAACCAACACCCTCGGGCATATTCATACTCCAGAGCAAAGAACAGATAGCTCTGATATAAGAGGGTTATATGCATAGTGAAATGTGATAAGGAACACATTTGGTTTCTGAGGAAGTACCCCTCTTCAAGGATTTCTTTCCCCTTTTCACTCAAGGGTAAGGATGACTTTGGCACTAGCTTTGCTCAAAGAAATTCCAATTCTTGCTGCCCTGTGACAGAACAGTTGTGCACTTCCCTCGGCAGTCCCTTGCTTTTAAAGTATATAGACAAAAATCTTCGTATTGGAGAAAGTTAAATTTCTCTGAACTACCAGTAATTTGGAGTATAACCCTGCATAAATCAGGGTCCAGCTCAAAAGAGGGAACAGGAAGAAGATCATCTTGTAAAATCAGATAAAGCTGAAAGTACAGGCTCTATTTCTGAGTGCTCTGTGCCAAAATTTGCAGAATCAGTCTTTGATCCAACTACTCTTCAGTGTTATATTAACATAAAGTAATGATTAAAACCGCAGCTTTCAAATACAAGCAGCTGAGAACGACAGGCACCTTTTTCTACATAAACATGGAGCACAGCAAGGATTACAGCAAGAAAGTCTGGTCAAGCTAATGGAGATTTCTGCCCTGGTAAGCAACGAGTGTTAAGAGGTTAGCTGAACCAGCTATATGAACTGAAGCTGAATCAACTTCACTTTTAACGGCACACTAAACTAATCTGACCTAGAAAGTTGAGTAAATAACCAACAGTAAGCTAACCTGACCTAGAAAGCCAAGTAAACTAAGCAACAGTGAAGAACTATCAGGGTTATCATTGGACTCACTCTGCTTAACCTAGACACTGCCAAGGAGACTGAAGTTTTAAACTCTTCTGGGTTCTTCTGTGCCAAAGTCGTAATCAGACTTGTAGCTGCAGTAACCACACCCTAGGAAGAAAAAAAAAAAAATACAAAACCATTCAATTTTGTAACAGTTTCAGATACGGCCCATTAACACTTTCACTTAAAGTATATTTTAATGTACAACAACACTAAGTTTATCCCCACTAAAGCTCCACATTAAAAGCCCTTGATCTGGCTGGCAGCTAGACTAACTGCCCATCTTCAAAATCCAAGAGGATTTTCAACAACTGCCATGCTTGCAGAGCATTTCATGCTCGTTCTGTACTAGCTTTGTCTCCAGTTTGGATAGTACATCTAAAACAAGAGAGTTATGTTAAAATAAAGCCTGGCTGTAAACTACCTTATTACACAAGAAAAATATGAGTCGAAGAAATCAGATGCAGCAAATCATCCAGGAAAGAATTCTGACTGCCACAAACGAAGAGAGGGGGCTTTGTGTAACACAGACACTTTATATTACTGTGGACTAAAGCACTCCTATTACTACTGAAGCACAGGTCCTAAATAAACTTACTTGCACAAAGTAACTAGTCAAGGCGAAAAACAGAGTTGGTTATCTAGAACAACAGGATTTTCTGAACCAGTAAGATAAGAACATCATAGGACAAGGAAATCCAAGCAGTACAGGTCTAATAAGGCCTAAGAAAAATAATATTACACCTATGCAATGACTTAGGTTCACTAGGCACAAGATTAATTTATTTGCAGCCAGAGGAAAAGAAGAACTTGTGCATACTAGTCTTGTATCTCAAAGAAAAATGTAAATAAAGCTTTATTAAAAATGAATATTACAGTAACTCAAAAGGACAACATATTCCATTTCCCTTCCCAAGCCTAAACAGCAGCCACTTGCTTGAAAGACTTGAAAAGAAATAAATAAGAGTATTTAACAGCAGAGAAGACATCGTTCTCTATACAGAGTAGGCCCAAGAAATGTAACAAAGCTGATTTACCAAGTGCTGGTCATTGAGGAGATGCACAACTCTAGAGGTCCAGTCTCCCATGGGTACAAGGTCAGGAGAAGTTCTATACAAACGCAGCAAGCACAGGGCAGCGCTCTGCTTCACGCTATCCATAGTATCTCTGCAAGACATAAATGTGCATTTTAAACACAGCGGTTAAGTCACAGCAGTACTTGCAGGCCAGCATTATGCCAGTCTTTGAGCTCACTCAGCATCCCTGGCCAGGGTTTGAAACAGAGGTTCACTACATCCTTCTTATATTGCAGTATATGTTCTTTGTAATTTTGTCCAGCAAGTTTCACTAGTCAAGCTTTCAACCACTACACATGTCCAGTAGCCTCTGTAATAATTCTCTGCAACCTGAAGTGATATTTCACATCCTTTTATCAGAACTGAAAGTTCATCGTTAGATGGGCACAAGCTTATCTACTCATGAGAACAAACTTCTTTCAAAACGACTCAAGTGGATTAAGGTATATTATAATATATATTATTAGGCATGTGACCAAAGCTGGATCTCTTCAAGAGGTCCTGTATATCAGATAAGAGTCATTAACTAAACACCTTAATTACCTACAGCTAACTTGCAAGTGATCGAGCTACCACCAAGCATGCGACTCAAATCCATTCCCCTTGCCAGCTATGCTGCTGGCACAGAAAGGGACCATTGGAGGAGCAGCCTGCTGCTATTCCAGTTCGGTGAACTCCTTTTCACGAAGCAGCCAATCAAGCATTTTGTACATTGCACAAACAAGCTAAAGACACATACAGAGCAGTCGCACTGAACATTTTAAGAGGCAATTTACACCTCGCAGTCTTGGTTAAATATGTTCAGTAACCTCCACATTCCCAGTAGAAGTTCAATCCACCTATTCTTTATGAATTTACCAATTTTCCATGAGATCATATTATACCCTGGTTAAAAAACACAAAACACAAACCTATTCCTCTCCTCCCTGTCCACTCCAACTTACACTGAAGCCAAGAGCACTACTCTAAAGCTGCAAATGCAACCGACAGTGCTCACTCGGCACAGGTCACTTAGATATGACATGTACACATACACATTTTATACGCATCCTCTGAGAAATGCAGAAGAAACGAGGCCCTGAAGACTGATCTCGGAACACACATGCAGCTCAAAGGTCAAACAAGCCTGAATTGCAGGTGCTGTGCTCTGCCTGCAGTTGATGACCCTAAGTGAAACTTTGGGAACCTTTTAAGGTTATCATGTTAAAGGCCATGGCTCATCATCGCAGTGGCACCTCCAGCGTACTACAGGAAGAACAGCACCTGGCAAGGGCAGCGCAGGACAGGACAGCAATAAGCCTGACAGGGGCCCAGAACATGCCATCTCTAAACACGTGCTCTTAAACAGGGAATTCTGTCTGGGAAGGGGAGAATCTATCCTGTAATTCCACTTATTTCCATACTGAGTATCAGGTGTCAGCTGCTTATTCTTCTTTTTCTGGTCCACACTACATTTCAGCTCTGCAAAACAGTACGTGTCCAAGTGTGGCATTACAGAGACACTACTTCCAGAGTTCAGAAGAATTTCTTAAGACTTCTGCCACAACTTGGTATCACGTTATATACTTCCTCTTGTCACCAACTCGGAAAACACACATAACGGACACAAAACTAGCATTGCATAAGCAACATCTGCAAGCTCCACTGCCTGACATTTAGAGCACCAATACAGTTCTTGCGCAACATGTTACTTTTTTATATTAAACACAAGAACTTAAGTTTGTTATAAAACAGGATCCAAGCATATTCCAAACTGCTTCGTATTCCCAAGAGTTTAAAAGCACTCTTTGCACTGAGACACGTTAATTTGCAAAAGAAATTAGCCCTGCAATCACAAGTTTCATTTTAGATTTACTTAACTACAGCTCCAGACGTGTGCCAGGTCTGTTTAGAGACTTCTAGCTATACAAAGACAAAGCTAGAAAGCTGGTGGTGACTACTTGCCGTTTACACGAATTGCTGTTTACACGGCTAGTAGAAGAAGCAAGAAAGCTCACACAGCACCATATTCTCACATTCCTTATGAGGTCAGCACCTCTCAAATAAGAACTTCAGTTTATAACAAGATTCTCTTTAGGTTCATTTTTCAGGAGAGATAAGTAAAACATACACATTCGAGGCAGGTTCACTGTCTTACATTGATACAGAACAAACACTGGATCACAAGAAAGCTGTAAAAGCTTTTTCAAGACCTTGACAGATTCTTAATTTCCATGTCGTAAGGAGGCACATCATACCTACCCAGCTACAAGTATTTTGGGGATTTCTCCAGCAAACGCCTCAGCCATTTCCCGGCTACCCACGTTAGCGATACAGTGCAGAGCAAGTCCCATGAAGGTGGGGTTGCGGCTGGCCAGATCATTCTTGATTGCATTGTTTATTAAGCGAATCAGCTCACTGTTAGAGTTCACTAGTACGGAGATGAAGAGATATCCCTGTAATTCAGAAAAAGGAAAATGAAAATTGATTTTACCTGACTTTAATTATGCTTTCTGTCAATGCCACAAGTAATTCTTTGCGACGCAACTGTTCTCTGATACCAAATATATGGGCAGAAATATATACTTAGTCTTTCTAGCTTTTGCTGTGCTATCTAGGTGAAGTAAACAAAAATAAGTAAGTTTAGTGTTTACTGTATCAGTTTAAGTGTTTCAATCTACTTCAGCACATACTCACAAGACTGTTTTAGATGAATGGGAACAAATCAAGAATTTTGCTGACTATTCAGACGCAAGGAAGTTATAGGTATTTGATAAACACAACCTTACCTAGGAAGATTGAAAGAGCCATTCTGAAAATTAAAAGGTTACTTCTCTTTTAATGCGAGGCTCGAGGCAGTCTCTCCACACTAGTAATTTTACACAGAGTGCATGTTTTAGCTTTTACATTTCGTACAGGACTCTGCGTGCAAGGGTGTTCCAACTTCAGAAGCACTGCTAAATCCAAAAGAGTGCCTTAAGAGGGGAGGGTGGGAGCAATGATGTCCTTTACAGACAACTCAGTTGAGGCAAGATATTCGACAGAACAGCTTATCTGTTATAGAGACTGAGTTACTCACAATTTGTTTCTCTGTGTATCTATTGGAACTGAGCAGGTTTACAGCCTCCATGTGACCAAAGTCAATGTCATGCCCCAGGAGAAAGATGAAAAGCAGTTTACAGACATATTTTTTCTTACTGTAACCATCCAAAGCCTTGTCACCTGGAAAGCAGAGAAACAAAGAACTATTAAGTCTATATTGTTCCAATTTCTGGTTCTCTTTCCTCAGTTCTGCTGAGGTATCACATCTTACAGTAAGAAGACTTACAGTCGTACCTAGCAATTAAAGTTTCACATTTGACTCACTATGCACCACCCTAGAGAAGAGGGGCAAAACAAAGGTTCAGCCATTACAGAAGTGGGAATTTCCCAAATTAAGTACAGTATTTCACCTTTCATTCACTCTACATCAAGAAAATGCTAAATATATTCACTTATCTCTGATTTAAAGGACTACAAGTGTTTATATAATTTTGTGCTAAACACACAAAAGTTACCACAGACCGTCATCAACACATCAGACAATTTCACAACACATGGGTTTAAAAAAAAAAATAAAAATTATTCCCAGTCACAGAACACAGGTAGCTTGTAACCCTTCCTAATGGTCTGAGAGAGAAAAATGCATAACTCTGAAAAAGCTGAGTTGTCACTGAATCAACAAAACATTCACATTATACTAGCTTTAAATTCACATTATACTAATTATAAATATTCTAAATCTAAAATTCATTTATGAGGAAAAAAAAAATAAATACCCCCAAATTCTGAAGATTTTCACATTAATTCCATTTACCATTATGTATATCCTGAAGGACATTCAGGAAGCAATGCTATCACTTAGTCCCTGAATTATCCTGCTATGTCCTTAAAGTATTTTCTTGCTATGAGGCAGTACATACATACTTTCTAATTTTCCTCATTCTGCTAAGAGCAGCTATATGTCTTCTGTACACAGTCTCTTATTATTATAAACTAATTATCAAACCTTTATCACAGTAAAAGGTATTAATACACTTCCTGAGGTGCACCACAGTAGAGAACTCAGCAGCAACAAAATAAAACCAGCAAGTCTTTTCAGAAAGGTAGAGCTATAACCCAAAGCCTTGAAAAAGCACGTGAAATGAGATTGCCATCAGAGTTTTAAAGCATTTGTAAAATGAAAACATTGATAAGTGTTTCAGAGAAGAAAAGAGCAGCATAAACAGGCCTTTTGTTGCAGTACTGCTGTGATTCAGAAGCTTGTAAAAGCTCCACGGAACAGTAGTTCATCAAGCTGACCTTTTCCTGAGATGGGCTACATAGGAAAATACATTTTTTGCAGAACATTCTCTCCCTGCCCCAAATCAGGAGATAAAGGAGTATCCACTAAATCAGGCAAGCCTGAATGCTAGAGTTCACTCAGAGAAGCAATTTTGATAAGAGGCTGCTGCCTAAACGGCTCTCCAAGCTCCTTAGCCTCCGCATTCAGGCCCCAGATAACCGGCCTGTCAGATCAGGGTGTACTCCTTACTGACAGCAAGGTCAGCCAGAACAGCACAGCGTCAAGGAAACTTTAATAAGATATCCCTAACTCACTGCCCCACCAAGAAATGCTCCAAGATACATTATACTTTAAAATACTTCAGATTTATGTAATAGGCAGCTAATCTATAATAAAGAATGTGAGTAGCACAGAAGATTCTCCTCGTTCCTTTTCCTGCACTGGTGCAGAAGCAGGTTAGATCTCCAAAGCCACGCACACCTACAGCTCCCACAGAGCTCCCACAGCTTTGGCTGTACAAAACCAACAAGAACCTACTGCTGTGGGCTTACACTTCGTGAAGGAACGAACACTGCATGGCCTCACACACCAACGGTAACGCCAAGGGAAAGCATCCGGGCACACTGAAGTAGACAATAAAAGGTTCTGCCTACAGGCTGCAACTATGCATTTTAGGGGGTTGCTTTCTATTTGGACTCTAGAAACACCTTTGATTAAGTTTGATTTCAGCTGAGAAAAATCTAAACACAACTTACATTTTAATATGGACAATGATACCCTTCAAATGTGAGTCTGATATTTTTTTTTTTATTTTTTTTTTGCATTTTAATATGGACAATGATACCCTTCAAATATGAGTCTGATATATATATTTTATTTTTTTTTTTTGTGACTGGCACACACAGCATATCAGCTGACAACAAAAAAGAAGCTTTACCTTAAAGCTATTTTTATGCTGTGCAAAGAAAAGTTGCCTTCAGGTCCATACCAAAGAAGCTAATACTTGTCACATTTTACTTATATACATGACAGAAGACACGAGTGACAGTGAAATCTCGCTATACTGCATCCCATCAGGGTCCTCTGACAGCAGCCAGCTCTGCAGAAAGCTGCCCAAAGACATGTTTTCTTCAAGTCACATTTACAGTTTGCTGCCATAAGGCTATTTTCCTGCT